CAGTTGCTAACTCAAAGGGTGAAGATTTGAGCCCACCCGGAGGTGCCTTGGAAGAAAGGCCAGGCTATCGGCTTCTGACAATTCAGCCAGTGAAACCCCTTGGACAGAGTTCTACTCTGACATCTGGGTCAGCAGGGGTCAGAATTGACGTCACAATAACATTTTCTCCCTCTTCACCCTTTCCTTCTCCTTCTTTCCACAAATCTGGGCAATTGAAGAATCTCGTCCAAGTTTTGGGAGAAAGATGAGACTTTTTTTTTAAACTCCCTTAAACAGTTACAGCCTCCGAAAGTGACAGGGGCAGTCTACCCTGTCTGCAAGGGTCAAGTTGGCATGGACTTGATGGCAGTGTTTGGTTTTATTTTTTCCAAGCTATAGCCAACTTGGTCCTGATTTTAGAACCAGCTTCAGAGAGGCCCCTTCTTTTCTGTTTTGGACCAAAGGCCTGTATTGTCCAACAGCACCTTTCCCTGACAGCGAGGAGGAGGACTTGGGTTCAACTGCTAGGATGAGACTAGAGTGTGAGAGGGTCCCCCACTAGTGGCTGCAGGTGATGCTGACATGAGAGGTCAGAGGAAGCCAGGAGCCAAATCAGACCTGTGTTCAATAAGTATGAGTCTCCCCTTTTGGTCCCAAATTGAGGGAACTAAGGCAGATATCAAAAGTCTAAAAGAGCCAAGTGTCAGAGGGTCAAGTTTAAAAAAAGAGATCATTTAGGAAAAAGAGTTTGTCTGGACAAGTACCTTCAGCAAATATCATGGTCCACGGGACTAAGCACATTCCCACGGCTTCTGCTCACACTCAGACGTTTGTTCTACTTGCCCTTCCTATGAGGGGTCTGGGTTCCACTCCATGAAGCACACCGTGCCTGGTAAAGCAGAGGGTCGATGAAAAAGAGGGCTCTCAAAGCGATGGGCTGACACAGTGCGCTGCCACAGGGGGCTTAGAAGTGACAGCAATTGTGAGGCTGACTCAGGTCCTGCAGTGTTTAGTTCTGTTTTACACAGTCACTGTGGGTTGGGGACAACTTGATGGCACTTAATGTTATAAGAGTAACAACATATATTTTATCATCTGTGGCCTCCTACCTCCTCTGTGATATATATGTGTGTGTGTGTGTGTGTATATATATAAATATATATATATTTAATATTGCCAGGTTCCATAGCTGGATCTCATCCTTCTAGGTTTTGATGTTACCTGTTAGACAGTGAAGATGAGTTGCATCTTTCATCTTTATGGTCTAGAGGTACCCAAGCCATGGTATTTCCCATTATGTCACATGCCCATGAAAGTTGGACATTGAATAAGGAAGACTGGAGAAGAATCAATGCATTTGAAGTGTAGTGCTGGAGAAGAATATTGAAAGTACCATGAACTGCTATAAGGACACATAAGTCTGTCTTGAAAAAAGTACGGCCAGTGTGCTGCTTAGAGGCAAGGATGGCAAGAGGTCATCTCACATGCTTTGAACATGTTGTCAGGAGAGACCAGTCCCTGCAGAAGGACATCATGCTTGTAAAGTGGAGGGGCAGTGAAAACGTGGAAGGCTCGAGATGAGAGGGACTGACACACCGGCTGCCTCGATGGGCACAAACCTCAGAACAATTGTGAGGATGGCGCAGGACCGTGCAGTATTGTCTTTGCTTGTACATTGGGCTGTGATGGGTCAGAACCAACTCAGTGACACCTAAAAACATTAGACAACATGGGCATCATTGTGCCAGCACAGCACCTACTCCTTCCACGGCAACTACTCCTTCCAC